AGGGAAATAATTACATATTAGACACACGTTGCTCATTGGTATTACTCATTTCTGAAACATATAATGATCCCATAATTAATATAAAAACAATGCTATTAAACATGAGTTACCAATCCTTTTAATACTTCCATGTAGTAGTAACTACAGTAGGAACTGTGTCGTTTTATTTAGCAATTCTGTCACAATGTCAGAATGACATTAGATTTCATGTGCTCAAATTCAAATGTCCAGTATACTGTGATTCTTTTTAGCAGCATCATATGACCGCTTTAATATTAAAAACAAAATTAATGTCTGTTTTGTATTATTTAACATGGAGAAACTGACTTTTTTCATATACAAGCATTGTTTAAAAAGTTTCCCATCTCACCAGTTTATAACAACTTTTCATCGTCCAACAGAACAGAATTAACTTGAATAGATGCAAATATATCATAACAAAAAGAATATCTAAATTACTATAATATTGCGCAGGTATCAGATGAAAATGCCACGGTACTATGACATTTACCATGGTACTAGATAATTACCACATTCATGTACAATGGCACAAAGGAATTGAAAAGAAATTAGGTACATGCACAAAAACATTGCTTTTCTTTGGTATAAACAAAATTGTTTTACTTTTTTTGTTAGCGTTTATATTAGGAGTTATTAAAAACACAAAGTGTTAAAGATCAGACAGAAGCGAATGTACAGATGCAATATCCTCCTGGGACCCAGACAGACTTTTGTCCTCTGTAGAGGACATTATGTTTTAGTGAATTTCTCTGAGACCCTTCATGCCACAGTGTTAAGTCTGGATTCAGGGTTTTTTCGGAGATATCAAATGTTTGGAGGTTTGATCATAAACACTCCCTCTTCTTGGTCTTTAAATATGACTGATATTGACAGAATGATCAAATTTAGCACTCTTAGGGAAATATGATAATGTTTTGGAATTATAATTTAAATCTGGCTAATTTTCTAATTGTTTGTCGTAAATAAACATCTCAGAAAAATGATATGGGGTTTCAGATCGGAATATGACTATTTGTTATGAAACGGCGTAATTTTCATGCACGTCTTCTGTAGAGGACACCAGGACAAATGGCATGTTAATCAGGCATTTTGCGAAAACACAAGAAATTATAAATCAATATTCTTATGAAATGAGATATTCTTATGAAAATGTTGGCAAGTTATTACTCCCATTATTACACTTATGTTTTTCATTATGATTTGCCCCAAGAACACATTAATATGCAAATTAGATGCAGTGTATAGATACATTGTATGTCAATTTATGGACATTTTACGCACATATTCCATAAAGTACAGTAGTATATCAAATCATTCTGTTATATCTTTCATAACATAGTTGAGAATCATCTTTGTACAAAGTTTGGCTAAAAACAGCCTGAAACCTAAAAACTGATTGGTGAATGAAAAAAATAAAACATTGTTTTTGCTACATGCCTTTTCATGTCTATTTATTTAGAATAACTTAGTCCTGGCGTCCTCTACAAAGGACACAGAATAAAATATGAATACAATATATTTTTTCAAAAATGTTTTTTCTCCATTTGTTTCTTATGCTCCGATCAATGTAATGACGTAAAAATATATATAACAAAACTTTTTTTCTGGTTCTCAGGAGGATATGTTTGATCGTGAGTGTCTTATGCTGAATGCGGATTAGCCTATGATGAGGATGATGATGATGATGATGATGATGGCCTGGCGTTACCTCTCCACACAAACTCACCTGCATTCCAGGAACTTTAACTGCTACCGGCGACTGAGCCATCTCCACCCGTCCACAGACACACTACACACCCAATAAACTCTCGGAAAGATCCTTGAAGAGTTCCTTTTCTCACACTACTTCGTATTAAATTATATAAATGACTATATTTACACTATATCCACACTGTTCGTGAAGTTCGCGGCGCCAAACTCTTGAGCTAGCTGCGCTCTGTTAGCTTTAAAGTCGACACTCGGTAAGCATAATTCCTTCGTAAAGTGGACTTTTTGTAATTTATAAGAGATCCAGACGGTCGTCGACAGCTTGTTATTCGCTTTTGGTGAGAGTTCGCGCAGTTTGTTCTTCAGGAGATCCTCTTTGACACCATGACTCGCGCTGCGCTCGCAAAGTTGTTTTGTGCCGTTGGGTGGAGTCGCGCACAGACGCTTGCGTCACTGACGCTGCCACACACACACACACACACACACACACACACTTCTCCATCTTACTGCTTTCATATGTATTTATATGCAGAGCTGGGTAGATTACTTACAAATCCGTTACTGATTACATGATGAAAACTGTAGTTAGTAACGTAATCCGTTACACTACATTTTAGGTAATGTAATCGGACTACTTTTAGATTACTTTTGATCTAACTTGTTTATCACATTGATTTAAATGGGACAATTTTGTACCATATCGATATAAAAATGCAAAGAAAAAGAAAATTTATTACATTCGTTGTTATTTACAACATGAAGTGCCTACATTAAACATTGTATTACATTATAAAGGTTTCCCAAACTGGGGGTTCGTGAGTTTAATGAAAAGCAAATAATTAATTAAATAATAAAAATGTAAAATTAAAATAAATCATTCTAAAATAACATAAATCTAAATAAAACACTTAGTTAAAAAATTAAGTATTTTATTTGTTTACCATTAACCGACATCAGAGAACCATGAACATGCAAATGTGTTACTGAATAATTAAAATATTTATTTTTAAATCTCAGGGGTACTTAAAGTAAATATATTAGGTGAAAGATGTTCAGATGACAAAAAAGTTTGGGGAATGCCAGCATTGCATGTGAAATAACGTGAATTTGTGCTCAAAAGCCTTCCAAAGGCATAATAATACATGGTTAAATAACCCACTGAGCGATAATTCAAACAAATGAGTGTGTTCATCAGTAGATGATGCAATGTTGAAATATTGAGAAAACACTTCTTAAAACTGAAATGATTTTTGTAAATCCAGTGGTCAAATTCAAGTTATTTCATATTTACATTTAATGTGTGGATTCCCAAACTTTTTTTTTTTGTCAGCAAAACCTCTTTCACCGAATATATTTACTTGAAGCACCCATGAGATATTAATAATTAACACATTTGCAAGGTTCAAACTAATTAAATATTTCAATTTTTTAGTGTTTTATATTGTGATTGATGGCATTTTAAAATGAATTCATTTTACACTTTTATGATTTAATTATTAGCTTTTCAAAAAGTAATCTAAAAGTAATGAAAAAGTAGTCGGATTACATTGCGTAAAATGTGTAATGTATTACGATACTAAATACAATTTTTGTTTTTTGTCATTTGGAATCAGTAACGGACTACAATTTCAAGTAATCTACCCAGCTCTTGTTAATATTTATATATTTTAAAGTAAAATAATTGAATAACCGACGACAGACAAATTGAATGCCACATGACTGATGGCAGAATGAGCTGCAAGTTAATATACGGAATACCTGAATAAAGTGTGAGCCTTAGTGAGCACCCGTCTTTCAAAAATGAAACAATAATATATGTGATAAATATAAGATAATGGGCAATTCCAAAAAGAAAGGGATTTGAAACGTGAAAAGATTCAGACAGCTTTTGCATGATAACATTTTAATGTATTACAAAGGAATGGACACACTGGACGTCGAGAGTGGCAACTGTGTATGTACAGTGGGGAATAAAACCATAATATTGGTCCACGTCCACATTTCTATGGCTATTCACTCAGACCAGCTGAGAAAGTGAATTGAGAATTTGTCTTTCTAGCCATTGAACAAGACGACAATATTTCATATTGTCTTGGATGACAGTATGCAACATAAAAATATAAGTTTTCAGATTTGGGTGTAGGACAGGCAACATACTACAACTAGTCAACACTTAAATAGCAATTAAAAGGGGATTAAAAGAACACTGAAAACTGTCATTGTAAGAGGCCAACTCAAGGAACTCAAATTACTGGGAATATACAGGTAGTGGTTATATTTTCAATAAAGGTTACCTACTAACTGTACGGGGTGTGAAATGAATATTTTACACTCTTGCAATCACACTCGAGTGAAATTGTGAAAGTCCAGAGAGCTCTCACTGGGTTGAGAAACAACAGCTGCATTGACAACATCAATCTTCTAATGGTTTTCATTGGCTCGCCTCGGTCACATGTGACCCTGGAGCACAAAAGCAGTCTTAAGTCGTGTAAATTTCCTACTGTAAATATATTAAAACTGAATTTTTGATGTAATATGCATTACTAAGAACTTCATTTGGACAACTTTAAAGATGATTTTCTCAATATTTCAATTTTTTTGCACCCTCAGATTCCAGATTTTCAAATAGTTGTATCTCGGCCAAATATTGTCATATCCTAACATTAATGCATCAATGGAAAGCTTACTTATTCAGCTTTCAGATGATGTATAAATCTCAATTTCGAAAAATTGACCCTTATGACTGGTTTGTGGTCCAGGGTCACATATGGTAGCAGCCTATCAGATGAAGAAATGAATAAATCCACTTCAGATTCATGTAAATAAAGCTTTTTACACTAATGCTTTTCTTCCACCAAAAAGGCTGCAATCACAGTGGAAACGAGGAACCGTCATGTATTCCCACAGAGAAATATCTTGCAGATTCAGAACGAATGTTAGCAAAGCTGGATATAGCCACGGATGAGTAACTGAATGCCTACACCATACATGGATTTCAAATACAGAGAAAACACACACTTGGTAAAAAAAAACAAAACACTTTGCTTATTTACAGATTAGACAGTCTCTCGGCGAGTCCTTTGATTGAGTTGTCAGGAAAGTTCAAATGATCCACTCCAGAAGGCAACAGGTCCCATCTATGGGTTTTACAGACACAAGGCTATTGTATACAAAACGGTTGGGAGCCGGTATTTGAGCTAAGCTCAAACACAAAGGTTCTTCCTTAAGAGTCTCAGAAGAAGCATCTGTGTAGTAGGATTGTATTTTTCTTCTTAAATGGTATGTCCTGAAGCAGAGCCCAGTGCATAGTGCTATACTGTTCATGAACAGCCAAACGAGGACAGAGTTTTGAATGTTAGTCTGGCATGTCGATGCACAGTTTGGGCGGCGGCACAAAGTATTTGCCAGGACTTTGGGTGATCACCACACCCGTCTTCTTATGAAACATGGGAGGGATTTTAGGCACCTCGTGGATGGGTAATTCCTCGGACACCTCGGAGTCCTCGTGGTGCAGGTCATAGGATATGTTGCCATATTCCCTCAAGAAGGGGAAGAGTTCAAGAAGAAACTGGCAGAAGTCTTTGCGAATGCCGAACCACCCTGATACAGAGGGAAATGAGAGAAGAGCTCAAGTCAATACTGAAACAAAATGAGGGAAAAATACCTTACAGAATCATCTTTTGCATGATTTTTCCCCCCATTTAAAACAAACATCTAAATACAAATATGGAACATATTTAGTTTTGCTGTAGTGAATGACAAAATGGTTTGCGCTAATCATTTGTGATAGAGAAATGTTCGGAAGAAAATGCAAGTGAGAGGGAAACAAAATTTGCGGGATGACTTACACAGCAACATTTGACACTTAAGGTTTGGGGTTTGTTTAAATCACTTACTACAAATAAGAAAAATAGTATTAGTAATGCCTGCTCCAGCAAACACCGCATGTAGTTCTAAGAAAGCTAAACGTTGTGATTCATTATTGATTCATTATTTTTATTTAATAATTATTTGCAGACATTTCTGAATCATTCTTGTCAAGCCATTGTAATGAATGAGTAGCAAGAAGACAGATATATTGCCGTTCAAAAGTTTGGGAAGCTTTTTAAAAAAAAGTCTGTTATGCTCATCAAGGCTGCATTTACTTGATCAAAAATACAGAAAAAAACAGTAACATTGTGAAATATTATTGCAATTTAAAATAACAGTTTTCTATTTTAGTATACTTTTAAATATAATTTATTCCTGTGATGCAAAGCTGAATTTTCAGCATTATTACTCCAGTCATTAATGTCACATGATCCTTCAGAAATCATTCTAATATGCTGATTTATTATCAATGCTGGAAACTGTTGTGCTGCTTAATATATATTTTTTGGAACCCGTGATACTTCAGGATTTTTTGATGAATAAAAAGTTAAAAAGAACAGCATTTATTCAAAATAGAAATCTTTTCTAACAATATAAGTCTTTACTTTGATCACTTTTTTATCAATTTAAGCAATCCTTGCTGAATAAAAGTATTAATTTCTTTAAAAAATAAAAATAAAAATTTACAGACCCAAAACTTTTAAACGGTAGTGCATATTGTTAGAAAAGATTTCCATTTTAAATAAATGATGTTCTTTTTAACTTTTTATTCCTAAATGAATCCTGAAAAAAAGTTTAACATGTTCCAAAAAATATTCAGCAGCACAACTGTTTCCAACATTGATAATAAATCTGCATATTAGAATGATTTCTGAAGGATCACGTGACACTGAAGACTGGAGTAATGCCAGATTAAAATTAAGCTCTGCATCACAGAAATGAATTATATTTTAAAGTACATTAAAATAGAAAACCATTATTTTAAATTGCAATAATATTTCACAATATTACTGTTTTGTCTGTATTTTTGATCAAACAAAAGCAGCCTTGACGAGCAGAAGAAACTTCTTTTAAAAAAAAACATTAAAAATCTTATCCCATACTTGATCCCATACTTATGAACGGCAGTGCAGGTAACACACATCACGTACAGTGATTGCCTCCTTTCTGGCCAAACGTTGTCACCATTAGAGTCACCAAAGAAACCCAAAGAGGAACAAACACCGGGACGTAGTTGGAGTTGTAATGACCATCCAGCTTGTGAACGAGAAGAATCTGAAAACAACACAAACGCTGATGAAAGTCAAACCAGTATTTATAAACGCTGAGCTCACAAAACAGATGCATGAACGAACGACCGCGTTCTTCAAAGAATAGTTCACCCAAAACATGAAAAATTAAGGTTAACATCCATCTGGCTGTGATTCGGATCAATTATTATATTGATCACATTAAAGGGGTCATATGATGCTGCTAAAAAGAACATTATTTTGTGTATTTGGTGTAATGAAATGTGTTTATGCGGTTTAAAGTTAAAAAAACACATTATTTTCCACATACTGTACATTATTGTTTCTCCTCTATGCCCCGCCTTTTTGAAACGCGTCGATTTTTACAAAGCTCATCGTTCTGAAAAGCGAGGGGTGCTGTGATTGGCCAGCTATTCAGTGCGTTGTGATTGGCCGAATACCTCAAGCGTGAGATGGAAATGTTATGCCCCTCACCCTACTGTTGATGCTGTGTCCGGCCGGAGCAACGAGACATAAACATTAAAACCTATTACAAACGAGGCATTTGTTGCATCCAGTGGGGACATAATTACGGATTATAATGACTTATACTGTCTTTTTACGCGTTGCATCGCGCCGCGTAAACATAAAACCATGGCTGCATTTGTGATCGGAGAAAT